TTTAGTATTTTAGTGTGAAAAGGAATGACTTACGCAATTTGGTCCTAACCTGCTGACCTTAGTCCACTAGGGCTGTTATAACAGAATACCACAGAGTGGATGGTTTATAAATAACAGAAATTTATGGCTCACAGTTCTGAAGGTAGAAAGAGCAAGATTAAGGCACAGGTGGTTTTGGTGTCTGCTGAAAACCCACTTCCTCATTCATCGATGGGCTCTTTTTCATTGTGTCCTCATGTGGTAAAAAGGACAAGGGAGTTCTCTATGATCTCTTCTGTAAGGGCACTAATTCCATTCCTGAGAGCTCCACCCTTATTACTGAATCACTTTCCAAACCCTTCATCTCCAAATACTCTCACAATGGGGATTAGGTTTCAACAGATGAATTTTGAGGGGAAATAAACATTCAGTCTATAGGACTACACTTGCAGTCATTGCTCTGGGCCACTTTGATTAAGAACCTTCTGCTAAATGAAAACCAGTCCATTTATTGTTCTAACAGGAAATCATTTTGCCCCATCAGCTTTTGGTTCTTTATCAGATAAACAGATTTTGTGGGGTCTAAAGTTTATGCAACTTGGGAGAAGGATCGGAGGGAGGGAGAGAGGAGGAAAGTTATGAATACAACATAAGAGTACAGGTTTGGCGAGGGACCCATGCACCTTAAAGTTCATTTGCTTCCTATTCAATCTTTCTCTGCCCATTGCACATTTTGATCAGATATATCCTTTCCCTTTTCTCTGCTTATTAAATATAACCTACTGTCAACTGAAATAGTACCTCCTCTCTGAAGACTGCCAAGTGTTTCACGCCCACTGCAATATTTTTCTCCTCTGAATTCTTCTAGCACTTATTATCTGCACCCTTAACTTAGGCTGCATTGCATATTGATTTATACAGTTACTTAAGTTGACGTGCGTATATGATTTTACAAGATGTCTAATTTGATTACTGATTCCCTGGGTATTGGTTCTGTTCCAACCCCTACCCCACTTTAGTGTTTTGTGTATGTAGGTGGTCAGTATTTGTTTGCTGATCTATATCAAAGATATTTCCAAGATCCTTTTTTTAGTGAAAAGACAGTACAAATTGTTTTTCTTTTATTTAAATATAATTTGCTCCAATTATAATTCCAAAGGCACCAAACCCACCCAATTAAGATTAAATAAAGCTCTTTTTATTTACATGTCATATAAAATGTATTAAGTAAACTAAATTGATATATACAATAGATTTCTTCTAAAAATTGATGCTGATGAGAATTATGGGGCATCTCCCTTTCATTTTTTGTTACATTTCAGTACATTTATATGATGATAATTTTCTCGAATTTTTTACTAAACAGTCAGCTCAGTGCATTTTATAGTGTCTTTTCCTAAAGAAGTCTACTTCTAAAATAGTGTTATCCATATGAAAGAGGGTGTATTTCTAAATGAAGTGTCATTAAAAGCGGCAGGAAGGAGAGCATTTATGCACCATGTCTTAAACCATCCTTCCTTCATTTGTACTGCTGTGGAAGTATATTTCTTAAGCCCTTGATGTGACTATATCAGCAAAATATGATAAATTAACATGAGTAATCCTCGACTTTTATTATACTGTATCTTTTCACATGAAAAGCATATAAGTAGGCATGAAATACCATGAATTTTCTACCCCTAACTGCATTATATAAAGAGCTGTCGTAGGCATATGAAGTGCTTTTAATCCGAATGAACTTCATTAGCTTTGGATTTAGTTGTGCATTCAGGGTACAAGTTGAAAGGCCTACCTGTTTGCTCAGGCTTTTCTTAGAGTTTGCCTGAGCGATGCAGAAGGGATATAGTCAGATGGGACAGAGGTGGTTGCAGAAATAATTAGAAAAAGCACTTCTGAACACTGGCAGAAATCTATTTAACACAAGAGCCATTTCATCTAGAACCGATCAGGAATTGTCTTCTGGGAGCTTCTAGTCAGGCCTTCAGGAGAAGGCCTCTATTACCTCTGGACCAAGAGGAACCCCAGGCCAGGTGCAATATGTGGGAGCATGTGGAGTCCAGGAGAGAGGGGAAAGGCACCCCCAGCACAACAAGAACTAGGGGCAGGTATCAAAGGCCTGCTCGGGGCCAGGCGTTACCCTAGCCGTTGTACACATTCTTCTTATTTAAGCCTCGCAACAACCCAGTGAGGTGGATATGATGACTTTCCTCATTCTGCAGATGTCCTCTGAAGGTCAGAGAGGTGAACTAACTTGCCCAGGGCTACAGCATTAGGTGCAGGCAGAGCTGAGATGTGAAGCCAGACAGTCTGGCTCTGGAGACTCTCTGTAGCCTCTCTGGGATGCAGAGTGCCCAGAATAAATTAGTGATTAAGAAGACAAGGACTCTATGTTAAAGAAGTTTACATTTTATTGAGGGATGGCTGTTATCTAAAAGCAGAATAATGCAGGGGCACCTGGGTGGCTCAGTTGGTTAAGCGACTGCCTTCGGCTCAGGTCATGATCCTGGAGTCCCAGGATCGAGTCCCGCATCCGGCTCCCTGCTCGGCAGGGAGTCTGCTTCTCCCTCTGACCCTCCCCCCTCTCATGAGCTCTCTCTCTCTCAAATAAATAAATAAAATCTTTAAAAAAATAAATAAATAAATAAATAAAAGCAGAATAATGCATTCCTACTAATATACGACATAAGCAGTGCTTATAAGTAAAATAAAGGGAAATTAAAAGATAAAAGACATTAAAATGAAGATACTGTCCACATGGAAGACAAGAACTCTGCTAACCCACACGTGGCCCTGAGACCCCCAGTAGCTACGGAGTGAATCCAGGCCAAACACAGGCACGCGCACGCATGTGTGTATGGAGCAGAGGGCAGAAGGGGGCAATTACCATTCTCAAAGAATTCCTAATCTGGCAGTGAGTCAGTCATGTAAAAAAATAAATATGTCACAGATCAGAGTAAGTCCTGGGAGAAGGGAATTGAAGCCCACAGCAACAGGAGTTTTACTAACACTGGTACTCAGGAAGGACTTCCTGGAGGAGGTGATTATGTTTAGATATGGAGTTTGTAGCACCTCACTCTATATTAATGGGAGGCAGAGGAGGAATGCCAGACGGAAGTAAGAGCAGAAGCAAAGTGAAGGCGATGGCTGGCCCAGCACATACTCAGTGCGTCTGTGCATACGGCCCAGTATAGATGGCTGTCGGGGAGCACCGCGCAAGGGGGGAAGTGTGAAAAGTTAAGGGGTGGGAGACCAAAACCATGCAGCCTGGTAAAAGCCATGCCGCGAGGGCGTTATAACGTCTCGGCAATGCCTTGCGTCTTTTATTGGAAACTCGGGGGCTTACCTGGGGTTCTCCTGTCCAGGGGCTGCTTGCTCAGAGAAGTGTTGTGGATGATTCCTCTTATGGAAAGACAGGGAAGGAGGGAAGGCCACAGACCAGGTGAACCAGCACACACATTAACATACTGGTTTATATGAGAAGCAGCAATGGCTTGAATTCAATAAAGGATGGGAGGAATATAGAATATGGAATAGTAAGTTAGATAGCCCAGTGGATCTTTTTCACTTAAAAAGCACCCAGGAAATACACACAGAAAATCTCACCTTCAGTATCAGCCCAATTGAACAAGGGGAAAGGTTCTCCCATTATACTTAATTGACAGTTGGTTCACTCTGCACAATGCAGCATTAGGTATCCTTCCTACTAAAATCTCACCAACTAATGAAATAAATTATGACAGATGAAGAAATCACACCATTCCTCTTCAAATTCTAAGTCAAAGAACAGGTCAGAATCAAACACACTGGCATGTCAGTCTTCAACGTTGGTATTTCTGGTGCATTTAAATACTTCTCTGTTATTTGCAGAAATGTGATGTCTTTTAAATAAAGTAATGACCTTATTAACCCACTCTTATTAGGACATATACAAACTCCAACAGTTTTTGGTGATGATTAACTGAGTTATATATAGTATATGTAATGGTGTCTGGCATATAGTAAGTGCTAGGAAACTCTAAGCTATTATTATCATTATCATTTCTATTCACAGTAGTAAGGTTAGTGTCTTGGGCTAGGGTGTTTAGTCTGATTTAATGCTGTTCCTATGATCAACTACAGATGTTTGCAAGGGGGCTAGCCAGGGTTGTAGATGCAGCGCACTGATGATCAGTGGAGCTAACTGGAATCCACTGAGATACTCTAGCATCTACCATCAGTGACTTAACCACCTTCACAATACAGAAACCCAGAAGCTTGTCTAACAAGTTTATTTTCACAGGTGAACATTTGCAAATATGAATACGACCTTAATTAGAAAAAACAACATGATAAGGATACTCAACACTGTGATCCACAATGAAAGCAAATCCCGCTGTCTTCAAGCCAGTGGGTGTTATTCTTGCATAAGAACCCTAGGATCGTGCCCTTAATTAGCTAATTATTTAGAAATTAGAAAGGAATCACTTAACAAGGAACACACACCCCATGATACAAGTGACAGTGGATAGTAAATTTACTTTTAAGAATTAATAAAGAGTGTCAATGAACTACATATGGTATTCATGTGTAATTAAAAACAAATTGCAGTGCAGAGAAACATGAAACATGCTAGTAAATTAATCTCCTCAATTAAACAAAAAAAAGTCTCCCAAAATTTTTGATAGAAAACATATGTATTTTCTGCATGAAATATGGAAATGATTTCCCTCTGTCTGACTCAATATTTGTTTAAAAGAATCAACAAGATTGCAGCCATATATGGGGAATATTTCACTGACACGTGAGCAAAAAGACCTTGAACAACAACAGCAGAAAACAGGCCCCTCCTCATTTGCTTTGGCAGCATTTCCCCCTGCTAATTAAACACCGTATAGTTGAACAAGTAAAAGTAATCTACCGTGAATAGTATTCCACCTTTTTTTTTCAGTTTTCTGTATAGTAATAAATACAACATTCCAGATGTATAACAGGAAGCAGAATCACTCAGATTTATGAGGTACTCTCCCCCCATTTCCTTGCAGAAGAGAGAATCCTGGACCTGGTGGGCTGTGTTCTCCGGGAAAGCAATCCCAGCTTATGCTCTGTGAAACTCACGGTAAGCCTCAGTTAGCAATGAAATGCCGCAAACCTCCCTGTTGAAGAATAGTGGGACTCTAACCAAGTAATAAGGGTAACACTCCAGGGAAAATATAAGAGATCCCCAAATTCTCTATGTTATACTCAGTGGAATTTATTTGAACCTCATCTTAACTTCTTTTGATGTCATCTGTGTTGTCATGCATTTATCTGTGATGGCTAAGCTGGTCGCTTACTTCATAACCTTTACCACTCCTCTCTTCCAAAATAAGCAACCCATAAGGACACAAAAAGGAAAAACATAAAAATAAAAGAGAGTTGATAGGAGGGTAGGAAGAATCAGGATAAATAATAGAAGATAGAGCCAAGTATAAAATTAATGCACAAATAATTTAATTCCTTACATGACTTTTTAGAAACTGGCTACAGATTTGCCTCTGAGCTTCCTAAGAGTCAACCCAAAGACGGAAACATGGTCAATTACTTAACACACAATTGCAGAAAAAATGAAGGTTTTCACGTGCAGAAAGAACCCGTGTAGGATAGTGAACAATGCTTTTATGCCAAGGTATAAAAGCAGCCACTTAATGCGTACCATGTGCTACCAGCATCTTTATAATAAATCTAAAGACAGGTTCTCCATGACTTTTTAAAAATGTTTCAGTACGGCCTGCTGGCATAAGCCTACATACCAGTCAAAATAATCTGGTTTAGCTTTCCATGACCTGGATTATTCCAAGGACGTCCTTTGGATTTGGGAAGGGCTAAAAATACTTTAATTAGTAGTTCTTAAAGTGTGGACCCCAGACCGGCAACATTAGCATCACCTGGGAACTTACTAGAAATACAAATGTTTAGGTTCCACCTCAGACCTTCTGCATGAGAAATGCTGGGAGTGAGGCCCAGCAATTAATCAATTAAATTGCACGTTGCAGAAAGATAACAAGGGGAATTTATAGTTGAGAAATACAAATAAAACATGTTTATACAACATATACCTTTTAGTGTTCCTGGAGTATATACTGTGAAACGAATGACTTGGTCAAAGGAAACTGAATGAACAGAGGAAAGAATTTATAAATTTAGAGGGTGTTTCAGAAAAGAGTTGTTATTTTAGGAAATCTTAAGTACTTAGTAGAGAAGGTGAGGAATGGAGTGATAAAAAGGCTGTGAGAGGGGATAGGTTATGTGACTCATGACAAAACTATGTGATCCTGAGCGTAGTTGGTTCTGCTTTTACGTGAAACAAAAATATGCAACACCAACAGCTGTATTTTAAAGATTGCATCTGCTCAACCATAGCAGAGTCAGTCATGACTTCAGTGTTGTGAGAAATGCTTCATGAAATAGGGTGTATTGATTTGTGGTTCTGAATGTTCAAAGGGAGACCAGCCATGGAAGTTCAGATATATTGCATTGCTTGGTTCATCATCATTAGGTATGTAATTACATATTATAATTTTAGATATATATTTATATATTATATATATGTATTGAATTTAAAATACAAAATTCAAACATAGTGCTGTGGACTGAATTATATTCCCCGAAATTCATATGTTGAAGCCCTAACCCCCAAATGTTATGAGTTTTGGAAATAAGGCCTTTGGGAGGTAACTAGGTTTAGATGAAGTCTTGAGGGTGGGGCCCTCATGACAAGCTTAGTGCCCTAATGGTAAGAGACACAGAGCTCACCCTTTCACCCCCTCTCTCTTTCCCTCCTCCCCCTCCTCCTCTTCCTCTCTCCCTCTCCCTGCCTCCTCGCTTTCCTGCCTCCCTCATCTGCCACCAGGTGAGGACACAGCAAGAAAGCAGGCATCTACAAGCCAGGAAGAAAGCTTTTAACAGAAACCAACCATGCTGACACCTTGATCTTGGACTTCTAGCCTCCAAAACTGTAAGATAATAAACATCTGCTGCTTAAGCCAAATAGTCTTTTGCATTTTGTTAGGGCAGCTCTAGCTGACTAAGATAATAAGTTTGAAACAATTTGATTTTAGTCCTTTAAAATTTAGGAGGAATTTTTAGTGCTTTAGAGATTTATGATGCAATCTTCAAATTACTAATCTCTGATAATTGAAGTGATTATTGGAGGCTTTGTTTCAGACAGTAAGGCGCACGAGATGTTCTGCCAGGTCTTCTTGCCATTGTGGAAAAACTAGACCATACAACATTTGACTCAGGGTCAGATTTGGCCCATGGCTTTGGTGGCCAGTCCCTACTCTGTACCACTGAAAACTAATGATCATGTAGTATATCATTTTTGTAAAACTGAAAAGCAACCAAATCTAAGTAACACATTTTGTTGTGATGAACCTATTTTTAAAAGGATTCGGTAAGCACAAAATTCAATATAGCGATTACCTCTAGGGGAGGAAAAGGAATGGGAACATATGAATAGACAAACACCTTTAATAATATTCTAGTTCTTAGGTTATATGATAGAATCACGGGATCTTTTCTTACTGTGCTTCATAACTCACATATATGTTTCATATATTCTTTTTATATTTCAAATTTTACATAATTAAAAATATCACTGCCTCCCTAAATGCTTTAATTTTCGAGATGTGATTCTTTGCTTAGTGGTTAGGTCACTGGTTCTCCATGACATCATGTTTCTCACCACCAAAGGACCAGTTGTGAAGCCTTTCAGGGGAAATACATGAATAAATTAATTTAGACAGACTGACATAGGCAATTATGAAACTCTTTAACATGTATAAATATTGTATATTTTTAAGAGTCATGAAAATTTTTAAATTTGAAATACGTGATAAAGTAATCTGTTTCCTGAGTTTAGAACAGTTCATAAGATTATGTTTATATGATTCAGAGACAAAGGCTCAATGGCTATATTGTATAGCAGGGACAGTTACAACGTCTGTCAACCGCATGTATATATTTTCTAAATATACACATTACACAAAGAAATTATAAAACCTCAAAACTATAGTTCACCTAAAATAAATATGGCATTGTATACAGGGTGTTGGCCTAGTGCTAAGTAATTATGGGAAATAACCTGAATGTGATCCTTAAGTTATACAGGCTTATATCAGGTTTCTGCAAAAATCGTATAAAATTCCTCTTTCTAAGGGTCTGCAGGGGAAACACAGAATATTAATTTCATGGAGTTCCATTCCAGTATTTCTGTAAGAATTATATGTCTGGATAAGGCAGTTACTATGTATTGCACTAATATAGTTGAAAACATTCCATGAATTGAATAAGAATATTTCCATCCAAAAAGTGCCAAATAACAGGTCACCTCAAGTGAATGGAGAAAGGTATAATTATGGGTGCATTTAATACCTGTAATGAATTCAACTTTGAAAGCTTTCCATTGTTTATATGTCATATACTGGTTATAAATAAAATTTTAAAAGGTATAGCACAAAGAGAACATTAAAACTTCAAAGATTATATATATATATACACACACACACATATACTGTATTTGTTATGTTGCGATGACATACTGTATTATTCAGTTATATGAGATCCTGACTGCCAAGCAAAATACATTTGTCCAATCTCAAACTATGGATTTTTATTTTCTTTTCTGTTCAAATCCTTTGGATTTAAGCTAGCATTTATAACTATCAAAGCCTGATGGATGATCAGAGAAAGACTCAGAAAAAAATATTCACGTACTGTAAGTTAAAATATGAGTTTTTGGAGGGAAAAAAATCACCACTTTATAATAAATTGAAGTGATAAAAAGAATGTCCATTAAGATTTCGTGGAAAAAGTGAAGTAATACTACTTTCTGTTATTCAGATAAACTGAACATATTTCATGAGCAATGTTTTAACTTCTAAAAAAAATTATAAAAGTGAACTTTTGGATAGTGTTGTAGATCCCCAAAGACACATTTTTTAAAGTTTAAGTGCCAATGATATTTAAGAGTCGGAATGAATAGCGTTGGTAGGTGTCTTTCAAGTTATGATAGCAGCCTGTGTAATAGACCCTGAATTTTCAGCCATTTTCTTGGATTTTCTCATTATTGATTATGTTGGTCATTGCTAAAAATATTAAAGTAAATAGACTTTTTATGTATTTATTCACTCACCAAAAAGCAAGATTTAGCAATTCTAGTAAGTGTTTAGAATGTATTGTCACAGGAGGTGAAAAGATAAATCATAATCTGGAAAATCACATAGTCTATTAAAAGAATATGTTTTTAAAACTTAATTGGCTTTCATTGTAGTAAATGCAAAACTGTGAGTTCTATTTCATATACTTTTATATTAAAATATCATTTTACTTCCTAATAGCCAGGTTTCATTTTCCCCATCTCTTCCCACAAGATCACCAAAATGACATTTTGTATATCATACCTTGACTGATTCATGTTACTTTCTTTTCATGGATATGTTTGTAGTATATATTATTTCTAACCACTTATGATAAAAAATATTTTATTTAGAAAATTGGCACATGCTCAGTGAAAAGGGTTGGTAAACAGTGAACTATACAGATAACATTAGATATCATCTAGGTTTCCACCACAAATAAATGATTTCTGCTAATATATGGGCATACCTTCTTCCAGACACAGATTCAGATACAAGTATGCATCTGGGTGTGAGTCTATGTCAGTAGGTAAACAGATGTGTGTGAAGCAGGCAGTAGGATCTTCTTGCATGCCTGTGAAAAATATGACCAGTGGTTACAAGGCAGCACCTAAAGAAAGCATAGATGCTGAAGAACAATGTATGGATGTATGGAGGGCCCGGGCATGGTGATTATAACTATTTGCTAGCACCTTGTTACTCTAAAAAGTGTGGTCCATGGACCAGCAGCTTTAGCATAACCTGGGAACTTGTCAGAAATGTAAAATCTCATGACCCACCCCATACTTACTGAATCAGAATCTGCATTTTAACAGTATTTCTCTGCTTTTCATGCAGATTAAAATTTGAGAAGCACCACCCTAGATGAGTTGGGAGCCAGAAGATACACTGAGTAGATGAATCAGGGCCAACTCACTCATTAGAATAGACAGTGGCTAGAACTTACGATAATTTAAGGGTCCATAAAATCATTAAGAATAAAAATTCATAAAAATTGTTAAGAATAAAAATTTAATGAAAATTAAATAAGAATTAAAAAATAAACTTTTAGGTAGAAGAAAATGTTTTAATACATGATCTGGTTGTATTCAGCTTTATATAAGCACAACTGTAAAATATGATTTTTCATATGAATTTTTAATGGAGGAAGGTGCCCAGGAAGACAATTTCCTAGGGCTCACAAAAGTCATAATGCAGCCCTGTGATGAATATTTTTCATCTTTCTAATTAAGTATTTAGAATAATTAGGATAATTAAATAAATGACCAAAATAAATGTATATGCGAATTCAAAATCTTAGAAGAACTAGGAATGGTAGACTTCTAAACCAGAAGAAACCTTAGAAATCAGAGGATACAGTCCATTTATGAAGATAAAGGAAAATATATATTTATCTGATGACAGATGACACTGATAATAATTTTCCTTATTGTGTTTCATTTTAGCGTCGTTATTTTTAAGCTGGGACCTCACGTATAAAAGTTTACTAATACCTCTGAGCAACAGGGCAATATTTTTGATAGTTAAAACTAAAGGTGTACAGGCAATTCTCTCTGCTTTTCCTTTTTATATTTCAAATAAACTGTATAGAAATGACTTTGTTTATTCATCTAAGTTCACTTCACTTTCAAGGTCCCAGACTTAAAATTTTGATACTGAGCAGAGGAAATTTCTCTAACATCCATTAGCAAGATATTGAACATGTTTGGACTACAGCCTCCTACCCATGTATCCTTTACATTATATAAGATAGCGCATTCGCTGCCAAACATACATTTTAGAAATCAAATAAATTTTAGCGTAAAGCTAGTTAATGAAACTAGCAAATTTAGACTTGTTTAAATGTCAGTATAATATTAAGTACCATATGCTGTGTGCCAAGCAGTTAAAATTGTTTTTGGAAGGATATGAAATTAATTGTTAGAAAGAGAATTTAGTGACTTAAAGTACTTCACCATCAGTTTTATCATTTAATGCATCTTTTGGCAATTATTAAACCCTCGGGAACAGCATGAATATCCTTATCAAGTCTGGAAAGACACTAATGGGGAGGAGAATGGAGTGATGCTTGCATTTACATGTGGGCATGAGCCCAGAGAAAAGTGAAGCTGGGGGAGCCATAAAAACACCCTTGGGCTCAGTGCCCGGGGCAGATACAATGGGCAGCCACCATTTCCAATAGCACCATTTCCTTCATTAATCCAGTGTTTTATTCCTTTTCTTCCTTTTGCATTTTTGGATGCTTGTCAGTTTTAAGGACAGACTTTTTGAAATCCCTGTGCATTATTTACTTCTTAGATGATTTACTCAAATCCATGATTAATAAGAAAGGCATATTAAGGTCAAAAATGTGTTGGAGAGTTTGGGTTGGTTGAATTTTAAGTTCTTAATGACAAAAATAGAAGAAAACAAGCATTAAGCACTTACTGCTAGGCACTGTTCTAAGCATTTTACAATTATTATTTTATTTAATCCTCCAAATTATCTTATAAGATATTTACTAGTTTTGTCTCCATTTTACAGATGAGGAGACTGAGACACGGTGAAGTTCAATAACCATTTTAGTTTTAACTTGATGGGAAACCACCTCAAATACCTATTTCCCTGGCTTGGGAAATGCAGCTGTTGGATATAATTGCGCTTTCATTTATGTCTCAGTATCACAAATGCCTCAGTTATTGTGTAACAAAAATACTAATTGTGCTGAAAATATCAGCAGGCAAAGGAAGTTATTGGCAGGACTAAAACCAGAGTTTTGTTTGTTTTGTTTTATTTTTGCTTTGCTTTTAGTTCTGATTTTCTAGTATCCAATTGAATT